GGTCGTATTGGACCATGTCCGCAGACGGGTTCATTCGGATCAGTGATGTAGTGCTTCATTCACCATTGGAAGATTAGGGTGATGGCTTGTTTCATATTGGGTGGCAATAGCCTACCGGGAAATGCCGCAATGTCTTACGATCAACTGTTTTCTGTGATGGCCCCCCGCCGTTCAGTCCGAGTTTTCCCGCGCGACGTCGCTAATAAGGGTCCGAAATTTCACTGGTCCGTATTTTAGATCTGGTACCAGAAGTGGCTTTCTGGCTCATGTGTTGTTTACCACCTTCGCTGAAACTGCTGGTGATTACACCAACGCCCCGGGTGTATTCGATTGATGGATGCTCTTGATTAGCTCACTGAATTTGTTTGCTGTTGTCCGTTAAATATCGGTAATGGCCGAAGGGTGGCAAACGTGTAGGTTTTAGATGAGGCGATCAGACCAGATAGAGTAGGTAAATGAACTAGGTAAAGCTCTGCCGTCAGGATCGCTATCCAGTGACGATGAGAAACGGCTACAAAGGATAAAAAGCGTATGAAGTGCTGATTTGGTGTCTCGACAGGATCAAGTGGCGCTGTTTTGGGGCAGGTGATCGAAGGGTATATGGTTTATCAAAGTCAGCAATACGGCTGAATCTTAGCTCAGTATCTAAGGACGCGGGTGGCTTTGATGCGTGATGGTTTGTGAATTTATGTGTAGGTGGTACGTACCTTGGCCGTGGGGAGTGTCCGGACGTACCCCATGGGAACCTAGCTGTCGCGACCGAAAAGCTTATAAAGGAATGACTTAAATGAGTTGACTAGAGAGTAACGAAGCCGTGTTTTCAGCCTTCTAAAACTTCTTTGTAACAAGTCAGCAACTGTGTCCAGGTGTGATCTGAGGTATGACCATGAGGCTCGATGTTTGGTATCTCTTATGCAACCTCATGGTGGACCGTTTCGGTGACATTAGGCTGAATCCCATAGGTTTACGGTCTGGTGTGGTCTAGGGCTCCAGGTCCCGGCGCCTATGTTTTCGGTCATCACTACTGAAATTCGAGTCCGTGTGGCTACGAGTCCCAAACGTTCTTGTCGTTTCAAGGTGATAAAAATGCTTTTCAACAGCCTCATGGGACCAGAGATACGGAAACGTGATTGGGAAAAAGGCGGAATGGTATATATATATATATTTGGTGTTCGTATGGCGCCTGTTGAATGCAATATAATACACAAGAGTAGCTTTACATCCCCGGCTTCCGAGCTTTAGCTTTGGCAACGTCTACCGAAAATTTAACAAAATATCCTTGACATGTGCTACTGAAAGCAGCAAACGGTCGTGAGTCTTCCTACTTACGGATCAAGTTGCTTCGTCTCTCTGACAGTATATGAGGGTCGATGGATGCCGGAATGTTTGCGCGACTGGGTTCGGACCGGCTCCCCGTCTGTGTGGGACAACGGTCGCTTTACTTCATTCTGATCGGTTCCCACCTGCCCCCAGATACAGGAGTGCGAGCTGTGGGGCTTGTTTATTAACCTCCGCAGTTATAAGCGCCCAGTAGGTGCGGTGTTTGCACCGTTTGAAACGGGATAGGGGTTTTTTGTCCTAGGGTTAATTTTGGATATTGATCAGGAAGCGGAATAATCGGTAATTAGCTGGGTGGTGTTTGCGGTTGGCCAATTGAAGTGGGCTTAAGGTTGTTTAGTCTGTCATACCAGGTGACGATGAAGGGTGTGAGTTTTCGCTCCATCTGCCACGTGCATTCTTCTGGTCCTGCTCAATTGCGATGGATGAATCAGCTTTTGGAGCATACCGGCGGTGGCGGGTAGTTCCATCGAGGTATCCCGTTCAACCTACGAGTTTTCGAAGCCTCTTTAAACTTACATTCATCCGGGGCTTCGTGGGAAGTACGACTTGTTCAAAATCACAATGTAAACGGTCCTAATAGAGGAGAGGAGGCTCTGGAATCCATTGGTATGTAGGCCTCGAAGTTTGTCTACACCGTGCTAGGCTTGCAAACAGTAGTTTCCAATATTATTTGATAGTGTCAGGGTGAAATTTGTTGTTATACTTGTTCTGTGATTTCACCAAGCCATGAAACAACGACGATTTTGACTACTTGACGCGGGCTGTTGACTCACCCTGCGACCAAATACCTAAGATGGTAGCACAGCCTCGGGCGTGACCGGCGTCGAGGATGATCTTCTAATGAGAACAGTTTTTGTTACCTCGTCCGCAATTGTATCCGGTGGTGATGCGCTCTACTCAGCTGTTTTGATGAGGGTGGCTAGCGCCGTGTAACGAAATTTTGTTTGATTTTTTGAAACTGGTGGACGACAAACAGCGTATGATCAACGCAACCTAATCTCACTGTCTGGTCTGCGGATGTTTACACTCGGGGTATCCTCTCTGGACGAGTCGCTCGGTAAAATGCTAATGGTCTTTACACTTGCGACATTCGATGTGAAAAGTAACCGGTTTCCCGACTCCATTGGAGGTCGTTTAGGCAGTGATGGAACGTATCTTTGTTTGGGTCTGCACTGAAATCAGTTGGAGCACATTGCGATACAAGTAGTCAACGGTTATCATTGCATCGCCCGCGCACTTAGTGCGTCCTCCATTTCTTGCACAGAGTTGGCTTTCGACTAGAATCCTGTTCAAGAGACAGACTCGGGCTTAACCTAATGCTACACCCAGTATTGTCTGATCGATGGTTACAGTCTTCGGATTTCTAGAGAGATGTATATTGAAGGGTATTGTGCATTCGCTTGTTGCGAGTTGCTAGTAGCCCACAGCATGATGTTCCTTCGTCCATATTACCTTTGTGAGTGCAATGGTGGCTGGTGGTTTTCTTAGGCAGACCCGTCGAGCCTCAGACTGGCGTAAGCTTGATCCGCAAGGTAGCAACCGAAAATCAGGATGAACTTGTAGGTACTAATACCCGTGAGATGCAACGAATCTTATGGTAGCTTTGCATCTAAAGCACACTTAAATTATTAGTTTTGTTATTGATAAATCCGGAGATGTGGGGCATGTATATCTCTATTTGTGTGGGTGTGTGCGTGTGGAGGCAAGTGTATTGTCGTGTAGGCCGAAGCCCAAGCTGAGTAACTTCGTAAACTGTTTTAAGACACACGAGGGAGGGTATGCAGGCGGATTCCCACCGCATCGTCAGTGGCTAGGATAGCATTTTCACTC